AGTTGTTCTGATGAATAAGTAAAAGGAGCTGGTGTCGTTAGGACTCTGAGTTATCCCCAGCCAAATTACCCAGACCCCAGGAGTACATATTCTATACACAGCAGCTGTTGTTTTGCCTTAATTTTCAATTTTTCCTTATGCCCTGTTCGAGTCCTATTTGCTTTATATCACATGAAACAGTTGCCACATCCACCAGTAAATGAATATATAATGTCGTGATGTATAGCCGGCACTATAGACTCCTTTTTATGAAATTATTTATATCCGTTTAGAACTCCGTTAATTGAATGAATGAATGAATGAAAATAATTGTATTATTCTGGGAGTAGTGTCCCTTTAGAACAAGTCACAAATACAGAATATATATCAATATTTTGGTGAGTTCGTGAAATACAATTTAATATTTACAAGTTGATTCGGAATACAATAAAGTTATAAATGATAAAAAGATATGAATACGTGTAAATATAAAATATTCTGAGAAAGTAATTAAGTGAACGAAATATCGATGAATTACAAAATAATCGGAGTATCTCGGTGTACCTTGAGGTTTTTACAGCTTAGGTTTCATGTGAATTTCGTGATCAATCGGATTGGAAATTAAGTAGGTGTTCGAAGAGGAGAGATTTGAAAGAGGATATCGATTTTACGTGTCGAATATCTGAAGGTATAGAGTTCCAGAGGGAGAAAACTTGTATTAAAAACGATTTATCAAATGCAGCAGTTCGGTGAGGGGGAGGATAGAAGTCGGACGCACGGGATCTGGTGGAACGGGATTGAAAGGAGCGTTTGAATTGTAGGATCTGTAGAATATAGGCAGGTCACCGTTTTTTGCTTCCTATTACCGTAACAAACAACTTCTGGTTTATTATTTTTAATAATGAACCGCTGTAATCGACCAAAAAATTCATAAACTTAACCCCCTCTCAAAATTTGAGGTTTTGGGTTTCAGGATATAGAATTCGAAGAACGAAGGACCGATTTTTTTTTTCAAATTTGGATTTAAAATCAGAGGTCAAACGAGGATGATTCTCCTTCATCAACATTACTATCCACCTTTTACTTTCAAGTCCATAGAACCCGTGTCGATCACAAGTACCAAAAAAAAGCTCAATTAATGACATAACTCAGTCTGATGAAAGGATACCACACGTGTAGATCACTGATCACTGAAATTTTTGTTTAAAATAATTGTTTTGTTTTTTTAAGACATAGATAAGAGAATTAATAAATAAATAACAATAGGACGACTGTAGTATAATAAGATAAATACGAAAAAAATCTTGAGGTGTCACCATAATATATTTGTATGTTTATTGCCAGTGAACATTTTTAATCCTTTTAAAATTTATAACGGTCTAGAAATCAGAAATCAGAACATAGATATATATTATATATGTGTGGGTGTGTATGTGTGTGTATTATGTAATATTAGCGCGTCACGCTCATGGCATTTAATATTAATAAGTCATATTAAAGGTGAAGAATGTATGACATTTTGCAACGACCCCGAACAGTCTTGCCTTTATCAGGGGAGTCCTGAGTTCGTGCCGCAATTTCCCACGGAGCTTATCTCCAGCTGTGGAGACAGACTGCTGCTGCGTGGTCCAATATCTCATATCCGTGGTACAGTCTACTAAAAGTGGAACTATTTTGTGACAGTCATGTATTATAACAAATTTTAATAAATGATATTTAAAACAAATAAAATTAACACAGACCGGTGTTTTCCTTCATTTGCGTAGTACAATATCCGTACTACATATAGCAAACAAATAAAAAAAAAAAAATGGTTATTTTAACTGTAAGATAGTAACTTGATGAGATTAATCTGTATAATTGTAATAATGATTTATACACCACCAAATTTACTAAAAAATAATAAAAATCAGAATCTCCAAAACCAATAATCGCTATGAATGTTTAAAGGATCTTGGTTTCAGCACTTTGCCAGGAACAGTCTAAACAAATAATTTGAACTCGATATTTTTATGATATGAGTACAGATCCCTTACTCACTCTACCTTGCACCCCATTTTTAGTTTAGGCATATCGAGGAAGTATGTTTGAATATTCGTTGACAAAAGTAGGGGGATGGTGATTTATTAAATTATTACCAGATCTTTTGTTTTTCCACTTCCACAAGTAGATGGAATTTGATAAAAGTGATATGGAAACATCTGTTTAATGCTATCAGTTGATATGACTGTTATAAGGATTTGAAACTTTTTTTTTTAACTTAGCTATTGGAAAATATTATAATCTGTCTCAAGAATATTTATAATAGTGTTCTGAGATCACATTCACGCTCTATGTACAATAAAATAATAAAAACACTGCATAATAAAATAAATTATGCAGAAAAATAATATATATATATATATATATATATATATATTATATATATATATATATATATATATATATATATATATATATATATATATATATATATATACAATAAATAAGGATAAAATAACCTAAAAATAAATAAATAAAAAGAACATATACACACCTATATACAATTTTTACAATATGGTGAGAGAACTCCAACCAGACTTGTCCCTCCAACTGTGGAGAGAAAAGCGATTTGAAAATAGAAGAAAGAACAGGGAATTAAATTTGCTCCTTAATGGCTAAACCGTATAACATAAGTAAAAATTTTCAGTTCTAAGCAAAATGTATTTCGGACTTTCCTCACGAATATGAATTCTCCCTACCTTCAATAGCCAGAAAGAAAAAAAAAATTTTTTTAGAAACATAAAATCTTTAGTTGGTAACATCGCACAGTGGTCGGAAAGTCATAAAAACGGCAACGGCACTGGGAAACTTTCAATTTAGGCAAGATATTTGAAAAACGGAATTTATATATATAAAATACATTTCGGTGAAACTAATCGTTACTCTTATTGTTAATTTTCTTTCAATAATAAATAAAATATATTTTTCATGTAATATATTGTACAAATGAAAAATTTATTATATAAGGTTATTGACTGAATCAATTTTACATATATATTACCTATATTAATATCAACAGAACATAGTGATAGAAGATGAGCAAATCATCCTACGACAGAATGAAGATAAACCCAAATACATGATAGCTGAAAACAGTAACTATTCAGTTCAATTATAATTGAACTCCTCATTATGAGTCACAAATCCTTTGAATTCGCTTCAATCTTATCCTTCGCATTTTATTTTAGTTGTTTCGTGTCTGTAATTTTTCTTCAGTTTTCTATGAAAGAAATGAATAAATTATATTACGTATTAATTTATTTAGATACAGATACATTTATTTTTCTGGCTCGTTTTTTTTAATTTTAGCTTTCTTGACTGAATTCCCCAGATAAATATCAAAACCTCAATTTACCGGAGCTGATTCTTGTATTCATCATTATCATATATTTCAAAGAACATTAACAACAACGTATAGTAAGTCCTTGACTGTCGTTGGCTTGAGGTACTTTCCGATGGGAAACTAAATTCCAGCAGGGGTTGAGCGATAACTTATCCAATGAAAATAAGATTTGTTTTTTAAATTTATAAATAAATAACTTATTTAGGGACTTATTTGATTCATTTTTCGCATATCACACACAAAAAAAAAAAATATTTTCAGAGTTCAGTAAAAACGCCTAAAATATATTTAATTATTTATATCAATTTACGTTATTAATATAGCATAAATACACTTTTATTTATATTTCATTGGAAATCTTGAAAATTGGTATTTTTATTAGTGCCTAAACTTTAGGAATATATCAGTTAACAATGTCGACATTAAAAACATAGAAAGAAAGGAGATGGTCCGGGGTCATAAAGGGGTGGTGGTCATAAATAGGCTAAATAGCGGCAAAACTATTTTATTAAAAGCAAACGTTTCGGCCCGACTTTGCAGGACTTCTTCAGGGCTAGAGCGGACAAGATATAGAAGGACAAGAAGATATACAAAGAAAAAGATATAAAATATTCTAGAATGGTCTTTATCTTTTTGTATCTTGTCAGTTCTAGCCTATTTCTGACCGCCACCCGGACCATCTCCTTCTCTTATAATGCAACGGCCAACTATTCAATATTCAAAAACTAAATTTTTGAAAAACTAGATTTTGAGTTTGATCAAAAAACTAAGAATTTTGAATTATCAGAACACCTTGAAAATAAGTGTTTATAGCGTTCTCAGGTAATTGTGCATCGTGATGAGACACACTGACAGCATTAATTGCACCATCTAAAGTAATTAAGACCTGATATACTTAGAAGTCTAGGGGTTTTGCATTACGTGGTAGGTTGGAGACAAAGTCGTCAGTTCGTAGAAACATTCTTAGTAACCAATTCCGCTGAATATTATAAATTGCTCTTCTACTTAATCATTAACTCCCTTACTAATTAATTTTTTTCATAAATCAACAAATTTAAAATAAAAGATACTTTTAAATTCCCATAATGTATTGATACCGTAGATAAATTTAAAAAATGTTGAAACATTGTGAAGGTCTGGGACTCTTAAATCGTAGAAATATTCGTGAGTGGATGTGGCTTAAATAAAGTAGAAATGAATGAATATTTGACTGAAGAGCTTTAATATTTATAATGGTGGATTGATGATTGACTGTAGTGAATTATTCAAGAGAAGTTTTACGGGATATTCAGGAAAAAAAAAATTAGAAAGTAATAAATGATATTGATTTTTATATTTGCCGACGTTTCGGCCCAAAGTTCAGGCCTTCATCAGGACTGTATTCCAGAAAGTATTCCAAACTCTTGGATTGGACTCCAGTAAGGAAATTTCCGAATGGTCTACGTAAGGTCTTACGGAAACCTTCGTGAGTTGACCCCTGATGAAGGCCTGAAATTTGGGCCGAAACGTCATAAAATATAAAAATAAATATCATTTATTTATTTCTAAGTTATTTTTTGTTTTGTTTTTTACTGAGCACCCCAACCGACTTCATTTCAATATTTATATTATTATTAATTGTTTTGTTTGTTTACAGGTTATTTTTGGCACATCAGCGATCTTCACCTAGACCCGAACTATTGGGAGAGAGATGGAAGTGAGTTTTTGTTTTAAAAATTATTTTTTATTATTTTATGATTTTTCTCGGGTTCGTCGGTTGAATAACTGAGGTATAAAAAGGTGTTAAGCGTCCTTCATATTATTTTTTCATAGTATTCATGCTATGTCTAAGAGAAATTTCTGATGATTCTATGCATTTAGAACGAAAAATTTAATCCCGCAAAAGGTACAAATTTCTATTTTTTTTTTTTTAGTTTTGTTGTTATTGTAATTAATACTAAATTTTTCTAAATTTATAAGAAAGGACATAGGAACAGAGGAAGACAAGTATATTTTTTCTGAAATCAGGAATAGTACAGATACTAGATTTTATTTCGCCATGAAATGAATTTTTCATGACTGGTATAACTAACTAAAGGTCACTGAAATCAATGGTGAACAGTAAAATTTAAATTTAAAAGGATTAAGTGAAACAAAATCAAACAAAAAATTAAAGGATTTTGGGATTTTATAATATAAGGCCCCTCTTCCATTGAAAAATATTTTATTTATTCTACCTGTGTCATTTGAGAACAATTTATTCTGTGTAAAGTTGATGTAAACTATTATATATTATTAAAAACCTTTTCAACAAACATATCTGTGTCATTTTAGTCAATGTTATAGTCCGTGGTACAGACTCCTTTTTATCAAATTATTAACATCCGGCTGAAACACCGTAAATAGCTTGGCCTCATCGTAACCGACAAATATTTTATCTACGAAAATACTCGGAATTGAGGCGTTTTCAATCTAGATGTGGACAAACTTTGTTTATTTAATTAGGTACTAAAAACTCGTAAATACCCATTTCCTTTCCACTTGCATCATAAGATAACTTGAACACAAAGCCGAAAAAAAAGTGGACTTCAAAACTATTGCGGCGCTAGGCGAGACCTACACCCCCAAATTTTCAAAATAACCAGGTTACCTAGGCAAAATGGCCCAATGTTTTTGTAGGCCACCTTTGTTATCCATTTCGTGATCATATTACCTTACATTCCAAGAGGAAAGCAAGTAGGTATTTCCGAGTTTTTATTACATAATTAAATAGACAAAATCCGATCTCCAGATTTAAAACGCTCCATTTCAGAGAATTTCAGTAAATAAAATATTTGTAGGTTACGATGAGATGAAGCTGTTTACAAAGTTGCAGGAGGATGTTAATAAATTCATAAAAAGGTGTCTGTACCACTGACTATTATGATTATTATTATCAAAAGATGTAATGTGAGAGTGTACACTATTATCTCATAAAACTATGTTTTAACATATTTTTAAATCACAAAAAATGTCTATCATGCGTTAAAATGTCACAGATAAGGTTTTTTACTATGATTGATGGCTACAAATTAATCAGATTAAATTAGGAGCACGAGACGTCGACTAAAGGAGAATAAATAAATAATTTATCAACGAAATAAGTGCTGGATAAACGTTAAATCTAAAAAATAAACAATTTTGAACAGCAGAAAATACAAGAATCCTGTATTTTCAGGCGCATTTATGCAAACATGTACTAATTCATACTCAATACCAGGATTTGAATTTTTCGTATTTTCGACAGGTTACAAGATAATTGGCTCTACACTGTCTTGTTAAAGCATAATATGTAAATTGATCCTACATATAGCTCAACGATATGCCTATTCATTAGAAGTTACGATAGCAGCGAGCTGTCCATTTGAAACTTGATAGTCAACGACCGAGTCCAAAAGCTATTTGGGATTTGTGCATTATTCAAAAGCTTGATACACCTGCGCCGTAAGTCATTGTTTTATGAATAATCAGAGAACCTTGCTTTAATAATTAAGAGGAATCAAGTGTTTCTATTAGTTTTATTTCAGTCATATGTTACCTTTGAAAAATATTGGTAAGAGTAAGAAGCTTGAAAGAAAATATTCCAGAATTTGGTATTACCAAACCATCAATGTCAAAAAAAAAAAAAAAAAAAAAAGATACGTAAAAGAACATAGTATTAAAAAAAAGTGGGTTCATGTAATAATGAGGTATTGAAAACATAAAATTTAGCTAAATTATAGTACTCGTATATCAAATAATATGGGTCTTGTAAAATATAATTAGAATAAAAACATTAACAAAATAGAATTTGATTCATTTGTATATGCGTCGCTTATACTCAAGTAAACCATAAAAGTTTTATTGGGAAATCAAGATAAGATTAAATTTCTATTAATTTATTACTATGTTTTTAAATATAAATTATGAAAAAAAAAATACCCTGTGGATAATACGGTACATTTTTTTTCAAAAACGAACCTAAATGCTAAAAAAAATCTGGTGAGTTGCGCGCATCACACAACTTTCACTTACCAACTTCTTCTAAGCAACAACTAGTATTTTCAAACAAAGGGAGAGTGAAAGTAAAAATTATAGATGCTATATATACTTAAATTTCATTGTGGGTATTTTTGTTTGTATAAGTACTCTAATATATACAAATTTTAAATTTTATATCCCTAATAATACCAACAATAGCATTTATGAAAACCGCATATGTATATTTACATAATATTCCGTATTATATTAAGCTCATGTTACGAATGGAAGTGTATTCTAATATTTCAATCTTCAAGCTCGGGTGCGCTCGTATTCCTTTGGTTCCACAATTACAAATATTCTCCGTTACGACCTCTTATTTCTCCTTTAGTTAATTATCAAATTATTTCATACTAGTAGGCCAGTGCGAAAAATTCGCACAGTATATTGTTATCAAATGCTAAATTAATAAGAAAATAAAATAATGCAAAGTATCAAAAGATAAAGGAATCAATTCTTACTTCATAGACAAATATAATCAACAAAGGAAACAAAATTAATTTAAATCATCATTTTTGTTTGGAGCCAATATATTTATAAATTTCAATAAGCTGTATCTTTGCGAAAAATTGGCCGATTTCAATGATTTTTTTTTCTTTTGTACACAATTTAGTAATGTTTTATATAATCATGGGAATAACCAAGGGAAAAGTGTGTAATTTTTTAGTTATTCGCAAATAAAGTTTCTTTTCTTTCATAACTTGTTTGCCTGAATTTTCGGGGTGATTGGACTATTTTTCCCGCCTGAAGGAGAAGGAAGCCTTCGAAATAGGTGGCTCAATCTTGAGATTTGGTGAAGAATTAACGATTATATGGCTTGCCGATCAAAAACACCATCGATAAATAACATAAACTCCTGTCTCGATCATAGAGACCTCAAGTCGACGAAATGAGACATGTATCCAATGACAGTACTACAATTAAAGTCAGGTTGTGTGGATGCGAACCCCATGCCTTCCGTTATCTCGAAAATAGTACGTTTTGGGGCTTAAAAACGCAGGATCCGATAGTTCCAGAGGAACTATCGGAGTCTTGCTGTACGCATCAAAATCTTCAAGGTCCAATTTGTCCCGCATCGATCTACAGACCTACCACTGTTCTAGTATTGAAGCCTAGCAAAATCTTTGTATCGACTTTATTTATTTTAGAAAGAAAAACAAAAGTGGAGAATACGATTCGCTAACCCCCCGTTAAATTCTGAATCCAACGGTACCCCATTCGTGGTATTTGAGCATGACAGGAGCTTATATTTGGTACAAAATCGATTTCGAGCCTTACTGTAATAATATATGTACGGATTTTATATTTAAATATATGTTATATTGGAGATTAAAGTGAAATGGTCAATTGTTTCCAAAAAAAAAAAAAAGTGCTTTAGGGGTAGCTAATATGAAAAATAAGCCATTAAAACCCTGTTAGAGAACATCAATCAGAATATAAACTATATTTTATTTCAAACTGCTTAATTTTACGATGATAAAATAAATTGAATAAAAATCGTTAAAGCCGTTTTCGAGAAAATCGTAAAAATGTGTTTAGTCCATGATAAAAAAATGCCACTTCCGGTTATATATAAAATAAGTATTAGATTAGGAACAGAAAGATATTTTTTCTTTAAACTTGTAACTTGTAAACTGATGAGTAGAGTTCACATTAGAAATGAAGTTCCCCATTGTTAATACCACTCCTCGTTACATTTTAAATGAGTAATGGAATCATTATAAATTTCATTTGAAACATTTTTTTTTTTAAGAGGCCTTAACTTATAATTTAAAAAAATAAAATAATTGAAATACCGTTGGGGCTGAAAGGAAAATGCCAATAAGCCTACTTTAGAGAAGCCTCTACTTAAATTCCCCCTCCGCCCTCAAACAGAATTCTCACTTTTTAAAGCATTAACACAAGCAGTATGAAAAAGTTCCTCAACAAGGTATTACAATGAGGTATTAAAGGGAGTGTTTTGTTGTTTTGAATTTTTAATGCAGGACTTTCTAGCGGATGTGTTAATTTCTAATGTTGGTTTGTGTTTTAATTTACATATTTTAACATGCATGTCTTTTCAAATAATATATTTTCATTAGGAAAATCTATTTGCTCTCTTACAACTGTACGAAACTCTCTTATTATATAAAAAATCTGGTGCGGTGCGCGCATTACACAATATTCACTTACTCTTCTCTTAAAAGAAATAAGTATTTTTAGACAAAGCAAAGTGAAAGTAAAAATTATAGACTCTATATTTATTTATATTTCGTTGTATTTTTATTTGTATACAATTATTAATATCAATATCGCGGTAATCTATACAATTAAATATTAAATAATATTAACAATAGAGTCGTGCTTCAGCTGTCGTCGGGTTCACATCGCGGATGGTGCTTTTTGAAGTTGCGGCATCTCTGAAGTTAGGATTAACTATAGCTCCTTGTGTAGCAGCCGCCGCCTCGTGTCTGGTTTCCAGGGACAGATAAGCTTGCTATTTTTCCTACCTACTTTTCAAATATTTCTTAACTTACTTATTCAATAATCTTATTAATTGTTTTATTTAAATCATTTCATTTCCGTAATATTCTTAGTTTAGTGACTTATATTCTATATTATATAATTACATATTTTTATATTTTTTAAATTTACCTATTAATATTAAGTTAGCTTGTA